GTGCACCCAGTGCGGGAGGAAGTGACGGAGGAGCATATGGTGGAGTTGGAGGTGATGGTAGCGGCAATGAAGGATATGGCGGTGGCAATGGTGGTGGGGTTGATAGTGTCGGCCATGGCAGTGGAGGTGATGGCCGCTATTGAAGAGTGTTCAAAGGCAGGATGTGGCTACAGCCACCATCTTGGTGGTGGTGGTAACTGAGTCGACAGTTGAGGTTTGTGAAAGTGGCTAACATGCTGTTTTCGTTTTACTTGCACTAATTTATCATGTTATAGTTATGGTTACTGAAGAATAAGACCAATCGATGGTCATTATTGTATCCAGGGGTTTTCTAGTCGATAAAAATTATGTGATATTGTGAAATTATAATATGGGTTGTAATAGAACTTATAGTTATGTCAGGTATTGTCATACAATGGAGAACGATATCAGTTATACATGACATAATGTCAAGGGCTTATTTTTCTGCTTTCTTCCTGTGATTAAATTGATATCATGTCATTTGTTGATTTCTTCTATCAAGTTCAAGGCAGCACGTTAAAATGCCTAGCTTTTATAAAGTTATCATATGAATAAATAAAAATATAAGAAATAAGCACAAGGACATATGATGATATTTGAGTATTTTAGCCTTGTGTTTGGCCAACGTGCTATAAATTAAGGACCATGATTTTTTATGAAGAATTTTTACGAAGGATTTCTACGACAAAGAAATATTATTTAATAATTGGGGACATGATCAAGCAGAATATTCAATTAGCTAATTATCTGTCATCCAGGTTCTTAAAGAGGATTTTTTTTTTTTTGCCCACTTCATAAATATTTTCTAGCTGATAATATTTTTTATTAAAAAATTTTTATACAAATACTAATTATAGAGCCCGAAAGAAATGTATATGTTCTATAATAAGAGAGAAACTGGGTAAATACTTATACGAGTAAAGTTCTGTCCTACTCATTTCATGTATGTATGCATAGCAAGATTAAATTATTAGGAACTAGATGAAAAGAATATAAAAAAATATGGCTTGAGATTATATTGTGACATTGCATAATTGACAATTAAAATAAAATATGAAAGAGAATAGTTGTTTCTTAAATAGCATTGTTTAAGATGCATTTTATGTAAATGCAGGAAAAAGGTCAATTATTATTTAATAATGATTAAATAATTATTCATATTAGTTTTATGATTCACAAAAGGTTAGCTTCTTCAAATCATAGATTCAAAGAAGGCACTTTTTATTTATAGTTTATCATTCAATGATTATGATGATGATGATAACATTCAGTTTGAATATGTGATAATTTGTCAAATTCATAAAATGTATTAATGACGGAAAAATTATATAGGCAAGTGTTGGAGTTCAATCATAGTATGAATTAGAGATTATTTGGATCATTTGTGGACAAAATTATTCAAATTCAACTTAGTTAATAAGTGAAAATGTTTATTCCAATTTTAAGCGTTACTAAATGAGTAAATTGTAAGAAATAACAAATAAATAAAGAAAGTGAGTAAATTGTGGGATAAAAATCCCCAAAAATTATTAGTATTAATATTTTTTTCTGATTTTGATTCCAGGAAAAAAAAAACAAAATTGATTTAATCCACTTTTATTATGTTAAAGGAAAAATTACATTGCAATTTATTAAGAGCAATTAAATTAAAACAATTGTCGGTTCAAATTCTAGTAAGAAATTATATGCTTTGACATGCTAGCTAGATGAGGGAACCATTTTTTTGAAAGCCATTTTTCACTCAGAATTTATCTCTATTATTCATTTCATTTATTTAAATATAATTTGTTGCGTAGTTATGTTGAGCAAAAACAATAAGGAAGATCCTTCATAGTTGATCGATTATTTTGTTGAATTTTAAGTTTTGTGAAATGATATATGTGTTTGTGTTTGTATTAGTTTATATTTATGCATGAGTTTTTAGAGTTATTTTATAACTAATTTATTCATTGCAATTTTTATAGTTTTAATTTGGAGAGAATTTCAACAAGTCAATATTGAGCTTATTATATTTGTTTAATTTTTTTTTGATGTATTTGTTATTTAATTTATAAATCATCTTTTGGATAATTGCAAACTCTATTATATGTGTACTTTTTTTTTGTGTGAGCATTGTAGCTATGGAAATAGTTTATTATGTTTAACTAAGTTTCTCGTACTTTATAATTTAAAACATTTAATTTGGGCATAATCCACGTACAAATTTGAATTTAACATCTTAAAATGAATAATGAGCATGGAGAGACAACAAATACTAACCAAAAAAAAAAAAAAAACACTAGAGATCCAGTTAGAGAACAAAATTTGTATAACCTAGAACGTATAAATCTAATATCAAGAAATATATTAAGTAAGGAAGCTAGTTTATCAGTTAAATTAATAAACAAAACTCAAAACAAATTGCACATCAACTATACGTTTGTAAGATAAAAAATATACGAAGTATATATATGAATTATTATTAAACTCTTTGAAAAATAATCATAATTTTAAACATTTTACACTCAAATAAATTATTGATCACACTTTAATATATTAATTAAATTCCATTAAATTGACAACATGGAAATGAAATAATTCATTAGGATTCAAACAACTAACCTATTTTTCTAATGAAGAAATCATCTTTTAGGACTTCTTATATCTAGTAAATGTAAATAATTTATAATAATTCAATATTTTCCTTAAAAAATTTTTATTTATTTATTTATTGTGCATATGAACGTTTTTTCACATTCTCATAAGCATCTAATAATTAATTAAAAAATTAGGCAACTTTTCAAATGTTTAATTTACTCATCTTTCAAATTTTTGCATTTTTTATTTTCTAGAAAATCAAATTAAAATTTTCATTTTAAGAAAGAGAATAAATTTTCAAAAAATTTATTACTTTAGGAAAAAATATTACGCACACACGATCACGACATAAATGAGCAAGAAAAAAAAACGGACTTCTCGTGTGTTAGCACCACTTTCCGTTATATTCATGACTAAATTCTGTTGCACGGGTATTTCAGGAGGGATAAAAGATCAATTTAGTCTTGTATAAAATTAAAAATCTGAATTTAGAAATTATCCCCCTTGGACACAACCTCGGCCCACCCCTGCCTCTGGTGAGCTTGAGAGCTATCAATATAAAAATTGTGACTAGTTTTAATTAAGATTAGTTTGAACTTTTTTCTCAATTTTATTGAAATGATGAAAAACAAGAAAGAAAAATTAAACTCTAATTTTAAAATTGTGACTTAAGTTTTAATCATTTTAGGTCAAATGTTTAATTTGGTTTGCTCCAAATCAAACCGGTTAAAGAATTACATTTTATTTAGTTTTGGATCGATTTTAGCAATTGTTGATCAGTTTTATTTCTTTAACTTCGGATTTTGATTTCATTTGGCTACAAAAATAATGATTCAGATAACTGAAATCTATGTTATCTTCTAATTTGCATATCTAATTTGATTATCTTTCTTGCATGTGTTATTAGCTGAATATATAATTTGAACAACTCTGAAGTCTTGTTTCTTAAAATATTCATAACTATATCCTACAGGTGATCTTTTGGACAAAGGAGTCCATAGTTACGGAATTACTTTCTTAACAAATCCTACTTAATTGTTGGAACAAACAGTCCGTATGAAATAATTTTTCTCCTACTCCGCTCCTACTAGGTACAAAAATTTGCGGCGTGTCAAGTTAGACAAAAGTAATATTTTGGATTTGTAATAATTCTAAGAATTTTATTTTGGCTTCTAGAAAATCTAATATAACACGTCACAGTGAGCCCCACTCGATTTTAAAATTGCATGCCATAGTGCTATATGTTAGCTATAAATACCAGTCCCATGGGCACCACAGCTCCCCATCTGCCTTCCCATAAATCAGAATGGCTACTAAAACCCTTACAATTCTACTTCTGCTCAGCATTAGTATTTGCCTCTCTTTAGGGAGGTCTTTGAAGGAGACTGGCGGGTCAAAATCGGCTCTTTGTTACCCCCCACCATCAGGCAATAATGGTCTAGGGGTAGGTGATGGTGGAGGAAACAGCAGTGGTGTCAATAATGGCTTCGGTGATGGTAGCAGTGGTGGTGGAGGAGGAGTTGATGGAGGCAATGGCAGCGATGGCAGCAGTGGAGTAGTTGGTGGAGGTGATGGAAACGGTAGTGGCGATAGTGGTAGCGGAGTTGGTGGTGATGGTAGTAGTGGAGGAAATGGTGGATACGGTGGTGGCAACGGTGGTGGAGGCAATGGTGCAAATGGAGGAGCTGATGACAATGGCGGCAGAGGCAATGGTACAACTGGAGGAGCTGATGGTGGTGCCAATAGTGGAAGTGGAGTTGGCGGCGATGGTTGTGATGAAGGAGGTGTTGGAGGAGGTGATGACAACAATAGCGGTAGCGGAGATGTTGGCAATGGAGGAGTTGGGGGAGGCAGCAGAGGTATTGGTGGAGGAGAAGCTGGTGCGCCCATTACGGGTGGAAGCGACGGCGGAGAAGTTGGTGGGCCCATTGCGGGCGGAAGCGGCGGCAGAGCAGATGGTGGAACTGGAGGTGATGGTAGTGGCAATGGTGGAGGCTATAGAAACAATGGTGGTGATGGTGGTGGCGTTGATGGTGCTGGTGTTATTTTGGCCCCCAATTAATGAACTAAGGTAAAAAGACAATTTTGTAATGTGGCACCGCCACCTACCACATCTCACCTACCGCTCACCTAACGGCCACCTACCTCCCACCTACCTCCCACCTACCACTCTCTTGCTTCTAT